TGTGTGTGTGTGTGTTTGTATGTGTGACTGTGTGTGCATGTGTGTGCCTGCATGTTTCTGCATGTTTGTGTGTGTGTTTGTATGTGTGACTGTGTGTGCATGCGTGTGCCGGTGTGTTTCTGCATGTTTGTGTGTGTCTGCGTGTGTTTGTAGGTGTGACTGTGTGTGCATGTGTGTGCCTGCATGTTTCTGCACGTTTGTGTGTGTGTGTTTGTATGTGTGACTGTGTGTGCATACGTGTGCCTGTGTGTTTCTGCATGTTTGTGTGCGTCTGTGCTGGAATTCTGTGAGTCAGCAGCTTAGCAATTCTTGTGATAAATTTACTTATTTAGCAACAGAGTCTTCATTTTGTCGCCCATGATGATAAATTTATTTCTTGCTTATTCAAGATTTCCCCTTTCTAACTTCTTAAACTTAAATCTATTTCCCGTGTGAATTGCCTCAACATCTTTTTGGGAAAGGGGGTAGAATATTAGGAAACAGATGCTGGAAATCGGGGGTGCCCTTTCATGGAGATATTGCCCTATGAACCGTGAGGGGCTGTTAGGCCCCTCGGTCGTCTGTGTGCTCCAGTGAGGTGTCAGGTGATTGAAGTATCAGTTCTAAGACTCTGGTGTGGGGTTTTCTTTTAAATTTGCAAGATCAAAAAATGTACCTAGATACAAAGCAGAGGTTCCTGAGTCTCCATGGACGTTTCATGAACAAGACTCAGGGCATGTCAGACAGGTATGTCCTGGGCCCATCAGGGAGCCTCAGAGCCCTCGTGAGAGATTTGCTGTGTGTTGAGCTCTCTGCTGGTGCTGTAGACACTGAGATGAGCTGAGTGTGATGCAGACGGCATCAGTGAGCAGACAGAGTAATCCTATTAGACCTCCTGCTTGGTGGTTGAGTCCCCTCCACTCCACCCTTTAAGCCCAAGCCTGGACATCGTCCCTGCTTCCACCAGCTCCAGCCTGTCCAATCTCTACAGATCATCAGTGCCTCTTCTGTTAAACTATTTAACAGACTCACCACTAGCCTCATGCCATCAACACTGCCCAGCAGTGAGGAAGCGACACCCAGGACCTGTGGGGGGCAGGGCGGGAACTGGGCCGTCCAGGTGAAACATTCACCCTGCAGGGACCTGAATTGAAGCAACAGGTAGAAAGGACCATGTCCTTTTGATAATTGCCACCACTGATGGACTACAGAGCCACATAGCCAGGAAGGGCCAGTCTGAGCAGCCACGATGTTCCCTGCGTGGTGACGAGTAGCAGAGCAGTGGACTTGAGGACACGGTGATGTTGATTCCAGACGAGTGTTTATCCGCCCACATCCTGACATCCCCACAGCAGGGTGCATCTCACGTGGACGGTGTCCTGGGTCCTGTTGGTGGCCCTGCCGCAGTGGCCAGTGCTCAGGGCTGAACTCGGCTGTGTCTGCGTTTGCTGCCTCTCCAGCTGCGTGTGTGCATGGTGGGTTCTGTGCATTGTGTTTAACGGCTGTGTAAGACGTCCTCAGTGTGATTTCGCTGAGTCAGAGTTGAAACAAAAAGTCCTGGACACAGGAGGGCATAGGAGTAGAGCGATAAGACTTGATGCTGACGGGGTGTGCTCTTCCCCCATCCCGTGTTCCTGCAGTGTGACAGCAGGTTCTTCTGGCGGAAGGAAGGGCAGTAGGCACCCTGTCGGTGTCAGTCATCTGCGCAGAGTAACAAGCCGTCCCCAAACTCAGGGGCTTTGCACAGCAAGGATTCACTGCTTTGATTCTATGGGTTGGGCACATAGGTCACAGATGCTTTCTCCTTGGTTACCTGGGAGGCTGTGTTCAGCAGAGGTTCATGGGGTGGGGAGGTCCAGACTGGCCTCATGGACACTCAGGTTGGCTGCTGGGTCTTTCCACGTGGCCTTTCGTCTTCCAGGAGGATGTCATAAAACCAGCCCAGATTCCAGGAAGTGGAGAAATAGGTCCTCTCCCCCATGGAGGATCACAGCAGAGCAGTGGTAACTTTGGAAACTGTGTACAGCCTGAGAGGGCGGGTCTCGTGTCCAGCAAGTGACCTACCCTGCTTGCTGTAGGAAGGGGTTTGTGCTCCAGGCTGGGAAGTGCTGGCCCCAGAAGGTGCAGACTGGACCTCAGCAGCTGGGAAGCAGTTCAGGGATAATGGCAGCTCAGTCTCCCTGAGCCGTGTGGAAAGGCACAGAGACAGCTGAGTCAGAGTCAAAGACGGTTTCGAAGAGTTGCACTCTGGTGTGAAATCTTGGGAGGGTACGAGCAATCTGTTTCCATCACGTTCTCCTTTTCTTTCTGTGCAAGGGTGATAAGGGGCAGAAATGTGCATCTGGATGGTTCTGGAAGACCCTTTCAGTCAGGAGAAAATAGAACTTCCAGTGATAGGAAAGCACAGTGGCTTGCTTTAAAGAGCAGCCGTTCCTCTCAGCAGAACGTAAAAGGCTCTGCACGGTGTGGTTCCTGTGGCAGGAGGGTGGGAGGTGGCGTCTAGGTGCCTGTGGGGTGTGCAGAGTAGGGGGAGGCAGGCTGACCCTGGATTCTGAGGGGTACAGGGGAGTGGGGGAGCTCAGGTCAGGGCTGTCAGGGGAGGGGACAGGGCTTGGGGCTGCCTTTTGTCAGGGGAGAGTGGACGGCAGTGTGGGAGAATGTTTGGATGTCAAATAGAATCTCTCATCACGGGCAGCAGAGGACACACCTGCTTCCATATCTGGGATGATTGTTGTGGATTCCTCAGTGCATGAAAGGATGAGTCTGCCAGTGTCTTTCCTATATGACAAAACTGAGCTTTTTAATCCATAAAAGGATGATGCCAGATCAGACTTGTCTGTGACTGGGTATGACCCCGTCTATGTATGATAATGCTCTTTTTCTGGGTAAACCAATTGCTGCTGTCTGGACTCTGATTATGTTGCTGGGAATCCTGGCTGAGCCTAACAGCTGAGTGACCCGAGTGGGACCCACCGTCTGGGCTCAAGGGTCTATGTCATCAGACGTCCTTCCAAGGGCATGCGGCTCTGCTGGACGCTGTTATCAGTGCCCTGTTGACAGCATTTGTAAACTTGAGTGCAGGCTGTTTGTCTCTTCCTTCTAGATCTGCATTTTGAATAGAATGAAAGATTTTACCTTAATTTAGCAGAAGAACTTGAAATTGTAAGTTAAAAATACCTGTGTCCCAAGAAAATGTTAAAATTCACACAAGTGTAGTATACCTTTACTCGTCAGCCGCACCTGACATGTGCTCTGGACGTGGCCTGTGCTCTGGACGCAGCCTGTGCTCTGGACGCGGCCTGTGCTCTGGACACGGCCTGCGCTCTGGACACGGCCTGCGCTCTGGACACGGCCTGTGTTCAATTCTGTTGGTCTGGTTCACTCATCACTTGGCTCAAATATCTGAGCATTAGAAAATACATCACAATGAGTCTGCCAATGACTTTCCTATATGACAAAGTTGATCATTTTTAATCAATGAAAGTAATTGAATGAAGCTGCTGTTACTTTCTTATATAAAGTTCCATTTTACAGCAACTGCATTTGCTGTGATTTTAATGTTTAGCATTCTTCCAAAGAACGAAGCCTAATTTAATAAATGTTTAAAATTGCATATATTGAAATGAGTATTTTATGGTACAAACCTCTGTATGACATTAGGAAATAGTTAATAATCGCTGTATTTATATCCCATCTGTAGTCAGAGCACTAATATTAAAACTCCCCTTCTGGGCATAGAGCGCATAGAACAGTAATGAAAGGAGGTCGGGCGCGTAAAGGCGTGTGTGGAAACAGTTGTGAGACACGTGCGATGTGAGACCCAGGCCCACATTTTGAGGACCTGGTGTAAGCTGTGAAGTTCAGGGTGTGGCAGGTGCTTGGGAACTGATACCTGTGGGCTAATGCCGGCCAGGCGTAGCAATCTCCGGTAACAGTTGAGGTGGCCTAAGGATGCAGATATCAAATATTATAGATGTTCAATATCTCAAGTATTTTTTTTTTTTTTGAGACGGAGCCTCAAGCTATCCCCCTGGGTAGAGTGCCATGGCATCACAGCTCACAGCAACCTCCAATTCCTGGGCTCAAGCGAGTCTCCTGCCTCAGCCTCCCAAGTAGCTGGGACCGTAGGCACCCGCCACAATGCCCGGCCATTTTTTGGTTGCAGCCATCATTGTTGTTTGGCGGGCCCGGGCTGGGGATTCGAACCCACCACCTTGGGCGTAAGTGGCTGGTGCCTTAGCCACTTGAGCCACAGGTGCCGAGCCCAATATCTCAAGTATTAGCAGATGTTCCAAGTGGGGCTGGTTGGCTGGTGGGAGACCCTAACCTGTAGGATGGACCTGGGACATTCTCACAGGGACCTTTGGCTGTCACATTTGTCATTTCCTCCCTCAGGAGGTGTCAGCTTGGAGATGGGTTGTCACTGCCCTTCAATTAGCCCCATG